CCCCCCCCCCCCAGCCCCCCCCCCGCCCCCGCTAGGCTTCCGTCGGGTGCCCCGCCGGAAAACCAGAAAATACCAGACACTGCACACGTCTGGTATTTTCTGAATTTTTTTTTACTAGACAGAGGGCCCCAAAACCGGACTGCCCGGTGGAATCCCAGACACCTGGCAACCCTGCTTGCCACCACAGGCCTCGGCAGTCCTGACGTGGACTCCAGAGCCGTGGAAGGGCCTGCCCACTACATGGGAGCGGCGCTCGGGCTCAACAGGGGAATCGCTGCGGGGGCTGAGCCTGAACGGCCGCAGGATAGGGACGGGATTAGCGCTCACGCCAGACCTGGAGACCTCCGGGTCCTGCCTGAAGAGCAGCAGGGTCTGCTCGGTGTTGATGAAGATGGCCCAGCAGGGGAAGCAGCAGAGCAGCAGGATGAGGATCCCCCGCTGCAGGATGGTCCCCACCCGCTTCAGGTTCCCACCGCCGTACGACTGGGAAAGAGAAGAGCCGCCCAATGGTGAGTAACAGGGTCTGAGGAAACAGGGTGGGATCAGCCATAGGCGACCGAGGCCAGCGGGCAGGCTGTGCGAGTGGCCCTCCTTCCTCTCCACTGGCCGCAAGGCTGTGCCAACCAAGATGGGTTCCCAGGGTAGGGGAGTTCTGCCAGCTGCGCCAGCTAAACCGCAGCAGAGTGGATTGGCCGCAGAGGGCGCGCCGGGCTCTCGCGGGGCGGGCTGTGTGCAATCCGCCCGCCCTGGCGTTCCGTGCCGGTCACTTTAGTAACAGCGGCAGGGAAAAAAAAATACGTGGATGGAAACCAGCAGGATCCGGCAACCCTGCGTGTGGGCAACAGTAAAGAAAAACGTCTCCCGGGCCGCACAGAGGACACGGATGGGCAGCATTCAGCCCGGGGGCTGTAGGTTGCCCCCAGGGGGTCAGATGAATGGAGTCTGGAGGGCAGGGGGAGAGGTGATTTAACTGGCCTTGCTGTGGTGCGAGACTTCCTCAAACACACCCCAGCCTTGTCCCCTGGGTTGGAGATGGTCTGGTCGGCAGGTCCCAGAAAGGACTGTTCACAAATTACACTGGAGCCAGGGCCAATGGGAGTTTCTTAACCTCCAAGGGTTTCGGATCAGCCCCATGCATTGCTCAGTGTCTGCATTTGATGGGGGCAGCCCCCTGGATCTTAGCGATAAAGGGGGTGGGGCTGTGCTCTGAGGACCCGACTGGCTGTGAAGCAGGCAATGGAAGGGCGAGATGATGGTCGGTTTTAACCCCCTTCCCCCCAAAGAAAACCACCACCGGGGCAAGGCACAACCAAAGGGAACAAGCAAAGGAGGTGGCCAGAGGGCAGTTCCCCACCTGTGACATTAGGGTATCGCATGCTGATGCTAAACCAGAGCCGACTGAGATGCCAGTAACGTTGATAACCTGCAGATGAGACCACAAAGAGACAAAGCAACCAGTCAGGGATGGGGGATGCTCAGGCTGCCAGGCAGGCTCAGTAAGAGCCATCCACAGCTGGATTTTCCCCCCTAACTGGGGGATGGGGAGAAGCGGTGGTTTCAGTGCCTGTTTTTTAGGCTTCCACTTTTCCTCGCTTTTTGGACTGTGGATTACGGCTATTTAAACCGCCTCTCCCCCCTCTTCCACTTGACAAGGGATCTCTCCTATTGAACTGTAAACATCCCAAGTCTACAGATGACAATCCTTCTTCTGCACCCAACTGTTCTGGCAAAGGCTCTAGAAATCTAGGCTCTTCATCCAGCGGCAGTAATAGGCTATTATCCTTTAGTGAACCAGCCACAGAGACATAATGGATACTCTGTCAGTGCTTACCAAATGGAATCCTTGGGGGAAAAAATCACCTGGAAAGATTTTCACTTTTACATCATGCACAGAGTAAATAAAAGGTAGGACGTTTAAAAAAAAATTAAATTCCATTTTGTATTTAAATTAAATTTTCACTCATCTACTTTCTTTCAAAAGCTAACTAAAGTACAAATGCAAAACAAGACTAAATAGATACTTGTTTGCTGGTTTCAATACTGATTGGAACTGGTGATTTCAAGTCGCTGTGATCTAAGTTAATCTACCCATCACACAATTTAAACATGTACATAAGGGAAAACGGAACAATACGTACGGATACAGCAAGTGTCACAGCATCTAGCTCGGCCTTCCCCAAATGGCCACAAAATATGGAGCTGACCACGCTGATCAGGAAGCCCAACAACTGGGCTAGGAACTGGGAAGGGGGGAGAAAGAAAGGAAAAAAAAGGTAAAGGAGGGTTGATAAAAATGAGAAGGAAGCCAGTCAGTCCCAAGGCTAGGCTAGGACAGTCACGAAGGGCATTTCATACACTGATGCACTCAAACAAAATACTTTAGAATTGATCAGTTTGATAGAGAGAGTGTGTGAGTGAGTGAATATTATATAGACACAGTAGCAGATGTACCCGGTGTTGCTCAGGTCTGTAATTCAATTGAGGGTGTGTTTTTGTTATTGTTTAAGTAAAAGGCAAGTGTACACGCTTTATATAAATTCTTGCATTCTTCAAAAATAGTGTTATTTATTACCTTCATTTTCATGTTGGATTTTTAAAAGGGAGTTACATTTTTGGTTACCTTTTTTTAAAATGGAAATTCCATCAAATGTATTTTTTTCCTTCATCCCCATAAACTCTTATTATTCACTGTGTTTTAACAAAAAACATTAGTCAGCCAATTTGCTAGTCAGTTTGGTTTCCAAAAACATTTTCTTCTTGTTTTCAACCCTTCAGCACTGATTTAGCTGTGCCAACACAGAGCACTCTTCCAAATTCCTCCATTTGATCTCTCTGCTGTAAGGTTTATTGAGAAGCAATCCTCTTCCAGGTTCATCCCATTTGTTCTGGCTCATCTGGGCTCAGGCACACCCAAACCCTGACCCTGCTGTAGGTTATGATAAGAGGAAGCTGTACACTGAATTTGGTGGCCCTAGCTCTTACTGTTTAGGAGGAGTTATTGCTCAAACAGACTAACTCTCTAAAATGTATAGCAGATCACAGTAATACTTGGTGTAGAAAGATAACACGAGACATCAGGTTTTAAAAGCTTGCTGCTTCTTGCCTTCACCTCAGTGGGCAAGTGGATGTTCTAGGCCAGTGCTTCTCAAGGAGGGGTGCACATATCCCTAGGCGTACCCCCCTGTATCCCAGCAGGGGAGGAGGGTCCTTCAGCTCATCCAGACGTTTGCCTAGCTTTAGAGCAGGCCACGTAAAAAGCACGAGCAAAGCCAGTACAAACTCATGTTTCATACCATGACTTGTTTATACTGCTCTGTGCACTGCCCGCTGAAATGTCAGCACGGTATTTCTGTTTCAATTGATTTATTTTGTAATTATGGGCAAGAGTGGGAAAGCAAGCCCGACGTCAGTGACAGCATGCGTATTTTTACATCTGATTTTGAAAGCAAGTTTTTTGAAGCGAGGTGAAGTTTAGGGGTACCTAAGCAACATCAGACCCCTGAAAGGGGGATAGTCATCCGGGAAGGTTGAGAACCACTGGTCTAGTCTACAGCCCGGAAGATCTTTCTTCTCTGAGGTTTGAACACTCAGCTAGAAGCTTTTGCTCCAGGAAGAATGTTATCTACAGAGGCAGGGGCACCCACAGACCCGCTGGGCCCCAGGACAAGAGGGGGGGCAGCTCTGCACTCCCACAAAGGGCAGAGCCTCAGGCAGACGAGGCAGGGCTGCATCATCTGGAATACACGGTG